AGGCGGTGAATGTTGAATGTTTGATTTTGAAACACAGTTCTCAGCTTTCTGCCAGGGCTCTGCATTGACTTGGTATAAAAATGCAGCGTTTAGGGGGGCTGCTCATGCGAGAAATTTGTTAATTAACTGTGTGCCCGACTAAACATTTTCTGTGGTGAAAGAAACCCATATCTAAATTGTTACTTACAAACTTGTCACATAATGATTATGAGCTATTTTTCTACTTTTCTGACCGACTGAACATTTCAGCAGTGCAGTATGCACACAGAAATGTTATATAATACACCAGCCTCAAGTGTACACTTGAATCTGGAATGTAGAGCAACTGCGTTTGATGTGAATGACGAGATAGCAGCTAGATTTACTACATGAGTCAGTGATCTTCTTTTGTGTTTTTTTCCCTTCATGTGCCAATTATACCCATTAACATAACAATTCATCTTTATATAAGTGCAAGGTCATGCAAGGAGTTGCATCTTAACATGATACCATTTTTCCAAATCAGATATAGATTCCAATACCTGGTCTTTGATTATCAGCAAATACTGGATACTGATCTGATACCAGTGCATTTAGAAAATACCAACTTATGAAACTTATTTTAATCGCTTGGATTGATGATTGCTATCTGCTATCAGATAAAAATAATAATAAAAAATAAAGACATTTGTCATAACACTATCCATGTTGTATGACCAGGCTCAAGTTAAACCCTTTGGAAAAACAAAGTCTTTCAGAGAATGAAATTAGAGTATAGTAGAATAAGACATATTGCTAAATTGCTATCATTTTAGCTAGCTCTGGCTAAAGCTACTCACTTCTTCTTTGCTTCTCTAAAACAGTACTTGCAGTGGCAGTACAGCGAAATTGCTGTGTTGGAGAGACAAAGAAGAATTGATTTCTGGGGAAATAAAATTGCAGTTTTATCAGGCTGAAACTACTATACTTAAAAGACATGGTATTGGATCAGTTCATAGATTCAGACGCTCTCTAATTCCCGATCCAGATACCAATGCTGGTATCGGAACATCTCAAATTATATCATGTAATTCTCTCATTATCATCAATCCCTGATCATCCTGCCTTCTTGACCTCTGCTACACTGCTTGCCCATGTTTCTCATAAATGTATGGAAATAACCTTTATGGGAGTTGGAGAAAATAAAGTGAGAACACTATCACAGAACAGGCCTTGTAGCTAGGTGTGTTTCCTCTACCTATTCCTGTGTAACAGTTGAGTGTCACTGCAATGTGGGAAGTACAGAGAGAATCCCTTCCTTTGTCTAAGTTACTGACATCTAGCAACTAGCTGGACAGGAAATAATCGATTGGACAGTATCATCTACACTATCTTTTGGAAAAAATCACTGAAGAGAATCAGAGAGCCAGAAATCCACAGTATATTATCAGGAGGGTGTGAAACATTTGCTGCCAACGTAATCTGATGACACTACTGGGTGGGGGATGCTGATGTGAAATTGGTATTCTTGTTCTGTGATCAGTCGTGGGACCAAAATACTCTAAATTGCTCTTTTGCCAAGTTAGCTGATGGAAATGAAACAGCAGGGAGCCAATAATGTAAAGGAGCTGACCTAAACACAGGGAGGCACCATAAGTCTATCCCGTGCTGCACTATCTCAGTCACTGGACACTGCTAAGAAAAAAATATGTTCCCTCATTAAATTGTCTCTCTGTAATCTGTGTCTCTTTGGAGAGCACCACCAAGCTAGAGAAGATAATGCAGACAAATATAAATATAAACCTGTATAATTATGTACATATACTGCATCTAAATTAGGGCTGGGTACCAAAAACCAGTGTCAATCAGGCACAATGGTATAATCACAATTCAGATTTACGGTATCTCATTTCGGTGCCTGATCTATACACAGCATCACAGCATGTGCCTGGTTAACAATACATTTAACTATAGTGAAAACACACTCCCTACATGGCTCTGGCAGCATGTAACGTTAGCTTACATTTAGCTAGTATTAACACGTGAAATGATTCCAACACCGGGACAGGCAGCAAATGTTTGAATACAATTTTGTTTAAATGGAGGAACACATAATAATGAAGGAACTGACAAAACACAGGATACATCAGAAGGATGCTCTGTTGCCAAACATATCAGTCGGCAGTGTGGGCATCCCTGGCCCCAATTGATGACGAGTTTGGAAATGGAGTACTTTGCTGTATCAAGCAAACTGTTATCTAGCGTTAAATGGTTTAGTTGTATTTATTAGGTGATTGTTATGTTAATTTGTCTAGAGTTTTGCATTTATTTACATTTGTATATTTAAGTTAGGGATACTTTAAATCCTTTATATGGAATATGTAAAATTTTCCACTTCCAATATGCCTTATCATCAAACACAAAACATATTTATCTTTTTTAAATGTATTGCATGTTCTGGCCCTGTTTCAACATTACCCAACTCTAATGTAAATAGTGTATATAATCACACTGTGTTTCACTCCTCACTGAGCTGCTTAATTCCAACACTATACACGTAATCTCTAACGCAAGGTTTATGGTGCATTTTAAAGCAACAGCATGAACTTGTAAACATGGAGTGAAAGAACGTTTGAAGGCCCCACTGGTGGGCTGCACGTCTGCAGGGAGCAGTGAGAATCTACAGCTGACAGGTTGCAGTTGTGATTGGCGCAGTGCTGGAGTCATGAGGTCTGGGGGACACACGAGGTCAGCGTGTGGGGAAATAACAGGGAGACACAGTAGCTCTCCCCTATCAAGAGCTGTCAGGGGCAGAATCGACGATGCCTGTGTCACTCTGAGACGGTGCAGCCACTGTATCTAACGATCAAGCCTGACTGACGCCTCATACAAATTTATCACAACTCAAACAGATATTGTGTGATAAGTGTGATATGAGAAAGTTAATAATCATATGAAATTATTCCTTGACTACAGTCCCATGAGAACAAGTCTTAAATGAAACCAGAAATTATCAGTTATCCGATAGTCTTGTGGTAGCCTGATAATATGTCAAATAATACAATTGTGAAAGCATTGAATAGTTATTTTAAATCGAAGATTAGTAAATAAAGACTTATATATTGGCTGTGTGACTATTACTGGCATCAAACCTCAGTAAGCCACCACCTATACCAGCAGTCATGGTGAAAATCACCATGATAAGTGACTCTTGGTTTCAGACAAAAGCCTGCTGTCTGCATGGCATCTGGTGGTGATAAAGGATTATAATGCTTTGGTAAACAACAGGATCACAAAGGAAGGCTAATGGATACAAAATCTGCTCACAAATGAAATATATCCGTACGCCGGATATGCCACAAGACACTAAATTATTTTATATTAAAACTGTTAACAGAGAAAATTGTTTCCTTCATTACAAACCGCAACACTGGTGCTGCAGCTGTTGCAATCATAGACTGCATTTAAAGATGGACGCTGTGTCTCCACTTCCTCCCACTATCCTAACTGAAGCCAAATTATCTTGGATATCAATGCCTTCAACTTGCGTATTTTGAGATAAAGATGGAGCAGCAGTAGCGAAGTCACGTCAATACATGTGCCCGACAGCCTCAGCTGTCAATCATTAAGTTTCACGGTGATTTCATATCAACAAATAACAAATTTAAACCAAACATCATTTTGATAATAACTAGCTAAAATCTATTGTCTCTATATTATTCACTGCCTTTACATTTGTTTGTATTTTCAACACATTTATTGTTAAAGCCTACAGATTAGCCTTAGAAATGTTAATAATACCGTAAGCAATGTCCCTGTCAAATAAAGAAATAAGGTAAAGAATATGAACGTGCACAGCCTGAAATCTGATGGAAGCTCACTAACTTCTGATTATCATCTCTGCTTCAGTGGTTCATGTGTTTCTGCCTGAAGACTCATGCGCAGTGAAAACATGGGCAGGATGCTTGCAGGATGCTTGCAGGCAGGCAGGTTGGTGTCTGCTTGTGACATACAGGTACGCCGACCAATCATATCATTTTGTCAGAATGAAAATGGCTTTCTTTTATTGTCCAGACAACTTTATTGAATGATTTAAAAAGGTAAAAAGTGTTTTAGACACTAACTACTAACCCTTCCTTCCTTCAACAAGGATGTGGATCATTGTGTGACAGTTTTTGGGTAAAAAAATGAGAAACGTTCAAGGAAAAAAACCACTGAATTGGATATTGCATCAAATAATTCATAATATCAAAAACTCTAGCATTAGTGCATATTTGACGTCAATTACACAGAATGGACTAAATCACAGTAAGGGTTCAGACATCATTCAGGACTAAGAGGATTAGTTGGAACGTTTATAGACAATTTACTACCAACTAAGTTATTTTGATTACTAGTCTCATTGACAATTATGTTGAGTAAAAATGTCACCATCTCAATAGTGGAGGTGCTCCTCTTTGTCTCATGTGATGTCAACATCTTGAGTTTCTTGTCTGGTATTGTACTTAAACAAAGGAACATCAAAGGACCATGATGGCATCAGGTTATGGTTATTTTCTGGACATGTCACAGTCGGATCGAACGATTTTTGGAGCAAAAAAGAATCGATAATCGTGAACATTTGCAGATGTGTGATGCTGTGGCTGCCTCTCACCACAAAGACGAATCAGCGGAGGAGGAAAGTGGAGATTGTTCCAGCAGGTAAACAACACAGCGCAAACAATGCAGCGCAGACATGAAAGCAAGAAAACACTCAACATTGGGGACATGGGTCATTCGGGACAAAAACACAGAGGTGAAAACGCGAAAGGTCACTTCCAACATTAACAACCATTTAAATCGCTATCCCGTCGTTACTGCGTATTTTGTGCCAACCTTTAAACAGCCCCAAAACAGCCTCGTTAGCGGCTGACAGCGGGAAGCTAGCTAAACGTCCCCGTGAACCACAGCGTCATTCGGACCAAAATAAGAAAATGACAACGTTTTTACGCGGAAGGGGAACAAAAACCTCCGCGATTTACAACAAAGACGAAGCCACTCACCGTAGTAAGAGGAGGGGATGTCCGTCTTTCTAGCCATGGCACTTGGTAGGAGAGATGCACCGCCGTCGTCTTGGTTTTGGAGACCGCATATGAGAGTCGAGGTGGACTGCGGCGGTGTCGGTGCTGTCGGCGGATAAACCCGGGGAACCTTGAGAGGTCTTCTCGGGGCTCCGGGTCTGAGAGGATGCTGTGACCACGCAGCTGAGCGTCAGTCGTGTTTACAGCCCGACGTCATTAATTATTCCTAAACGGGCTTAAAGGGGCCGCGACGCTCCGTCACCAGCACCGCTGCTGCCGAGTCCTGGCTCCCCTTTGTTGGGATGACATCTAATAAAGCTCTCACCCTCTCTGTTGTTTCAGCTGCAGGGGACATCAGTGGGATTCAAACCACCGAGCACAGGTGGGTCGTGTTTCCCCACGTGTGCTGCAACAACATCAGTGTTTTCATTGTTGGTCAGAGGCACAAAGAACAAAGCAGCCTGCGGACTGTGGAGAAATACTGACCTCGGCTGGTGTGTCTGCGGTACTGCAGCGCTTCCTCGCAGTTTGAAGAGTGACAGAAATGTCTGCTTCATCCATTTATATGCTGCTGCTGCAGTAGAGCCTGCATTAACATGGAGGTGTAAGACAGACAGGGAAGATTGTGCAACAATCATTGTGTATGTATTGAAAGTCCTTCATGCCTTTTTGTTTCTTGGCTTTGTGCTATGCTGTTTTGGACCAAATTGCAATGTCATTCTTGTGCAGACATGGACTTATAGAAGGCGAAGTTATAGAAGGTGCACCTCTCATGATTGTAATAATTAATAAATGCACCTGTGTGTTTTATTTGACAATATATGCTGCTACATTGTGAAATCTTGTGATTTTGTTGTACTATACAATGTTATGCAAAGGAATAATAAAGAAATCTATCTATCTATCTATCTATCTATCTATCTATCTATCTATCTATCTATCTATCTATCTATCTATCTGTCTGCCTGCCTGTCTGTCTGTCTGTCTGTCTGTCTGTCTGTCTGCCTGCCTGCCTGCCTACCTACCTACCAACCTAAAATATTGTAAATATAGATAACTGTAATTGAGGAAGAAATCATTTTCCAGTTGCAAAGTGTTGAGCCTCAAGGAGCAAATTATTCAAGACACTAAATTGAGCTTTGGAGCCATTATGAGATTTTTGAGGATTTTGAGGGTCTATTATAGTGACCGTGAAGTGGCAGCAGAGAAATAAAAAGCGTGTTTAATCTGTGACAGCAGCAGTTACAGAGATTCAACATTGATGTCCTGAATAGTAATTGCACACATTGCCAAACCTGATTCCTTTTTAATGACAGAATATCTAAAAAGTCAATACCCTGTGTCTTTGATGCACATTCGGATTACAAATAGGACATTTAATTTGCATTAAACACTGACATCTAAAAAGTAATGTCTAGTGCTCCGCAGAGAAAAGCAATGAAAGCTCAGGTTGCCAAAGGCTGCTCATTAACAGGGGACTGACTTCACTGGGACATAACATATGTTGATGTGGCACCTCACTGCCAGTAGCACGCCAGGAGCATAGAATCACGTTATTATCTCTGCCAAGGAGGTTATGTTGTCATCTGTGTTTGTTTTTGTGTTATATAGCAGAATTATGCATAAACTACTGGATGGATTACCACGGAACTTGGAAGGATGCGGAATGGCTCAGGGAAGAAGCCAATACGTTTTGGTGCAGATCCGGATCAGGGGTGGATGCAGGAATCTTTCGTTTTTCAACATTTTCATTGTTTTTATTTTGTTTAGTTTTTTTATGAATGGATTTTGATGCTGATATCTCTGAGTGTGTACAATTTGATGCAGCAGAATTTAAGGGACAGTTGGGCCTTCATTGAGGTAAAAATGGTGAAACTAGCACTGTGGTTATCAACCAAATTTGGCCCAAAAGTGCTTAAAACAAAGAAGTGTGATGCCAGCCCATCTGCTTGTCATTCAGCATGAAATGATGGAAGTCAACAGCTTGTTAATTACATAATCGAGAGGGTACACAACAGATGCAGACACATTTTGTGCTGGTTTGGTTTTGCAGCCTTTTTCCGCTTTGTGAAACAAAAGGCAATTTCTTTCTCTGTGGCAGTTCTATTATAGATTTCTCTTTAATAGGAAACAGAGGATGATTCTCACACAATCACCGTTCACCGCTCATGCTGCAGTTACAATCAACCCTGCCGACCCCAAAAATGAACATCCCACAAGTCTCACCACTCAAAAGTGGTTCAACAACATCGTGCAGCAGTGGACATTGCTGCATTAATGTGTAACAGAGACAACGGGTGTTCTCCCCCCCCCCCAATCAATTGGATAAGCACAGTAATTCTGCACATTGGGCAACAGGAAATTGCATCAGTGATTGGTGGGAATGCAAGTCGATGAGTCAATGATCTTTCTGTTAGCAGAGGCGATTTGCAAAAGGAATGAAGATGCTTTACGTCTTGGGGCTGAAGATGCAGGACATAAAGACTGCAGCTGCCTTCAGATGCTCTGTTTTCTTCAACATGAGACAGAGTAAGCAGTGATATCTGGCCTGGAGAACACAATAACGTTTCAACCACCTCACTACATTTGTTCTCTGTACTAGACCTTTGCATTCATGTTTTTTTTCCAAATATGATTTATATATATATATAGATAGAGAGAGAGAGAGAGAGAGAGAGAGAGAGAGAGAGAGNGCTGAAGTACTCGACCGTTGTCAGGGACTTGAGATGGACGCTGTTGCACTGAATGAGCATGGAATCCCACTCTTCTTCAAGGGTAAGTAGATAGATAGACAGATAGATAGACAGAAAGATAGATAGATAGATAGATAGATAGAGAGAGAGAGAGAGAGAGAGAGAGGGAGAGAGTTATATTGTCAATACACTGTCTTGCTAAAATTTAGAGTCTGTAAAATCAGTTTGGTGTTATTTGCCATAATTGGCTGATAAGCTCATAAACCCCTTGAAAAACTTTTATATTCAAAGTGTGAGAGTCATACAGTCGTGTAATTGCTTTTCTTTTTTAGATTTCTGCCATGCCAACAAAATAATGTTGTATCTTTTGCTGTTAAACTGAAAAAACCCCATTAACAGTAAGTTGGGACTTTTGTCAACAGGAATACAACAACTCTCAGATTATTTCTTCACCCAGAGGTATAGACTCTTCAAGTTAGGGACCATATAATGAGGAAAAACAAAACCGCTTAAGGCATCGCAAACAGAACACATTATTTCACACTTGTATTGTGTTTGGTTCAGCACAGGCCATCACACACCCGTCTGGCACCTCACCGGATACAAGGTTGGAGTTAATTAAAAAAAAGATTCTGTTCCACATACACAGCCTCGCTCCTGGTGGTGTGTGTGCGCGTGTGTGTGTGTTTTCCAGAGATGTGTTTTAAGATGCATTTAAGACCTCAGGGACGGCCCTAATCAAAACGCACATGCTCTGAATTCACACATATGAGGTGCATTATGAGGCTCTGCTCCTCAGTGATACAGGTAATTTGATCATTAAGGTGAATTGAACATATGGCGTCAAGGAAAACAGAAAAGAGAAAGAAAAAAGGGGAACAAAGCTTTTTCCTAAGTGGGAATATATTCGATATAATCAACACTCCAATAACCTGCAAGGATTTGTTGTATCATATTTTCAGATGACACTAATCAAAACATCTTTATTGCAGATAGCCTACACCACTTAGACTCAGGATGCTGCAACTTCACTTTTACTATCAAGTTTATAGATGAACTGAAAATATGATTTTATTATAATGTTGAATAAATGTAAATGTAGGGTGAGAGCATTGACATTTTGTCATGTGTTGGTTTATTACAATCTATCACATTCTCTGTATATTACATTAGTATTGATTCGGATAAATATTGCAGGAATACAGTCTTCATTATTTAGTTACATTTTTCATGTTGACGCTGCATGAACTTTGGATGTGTTTGTGCTATTTTCATCACTTTTCAGCCAGTGACCTGTGACCCTTCAAAACCAAACACAGGCTGCATGTTGTCTATGAGCTGTATCATTTTCCATTATGATTAATCCATGATTCAGATTTAAAATAACCATCATTTTGTGTATGAGGATGATTAGTTATTTCATGCTTTGCTTTGAAATATAAATGATAAATCTAATCATTATTCATCAATCATTGGTGTTTATTTTGTGTAATGTCATATTGCATTACATTTCATTGCATTTAGTTGTTTTTTTAATCTTGCATCACATATTCTATATACAGTATCTGGCTTTCAGATTGAAACCTAATTAGTGTAACAAGGTATTTGTAGGAACCAGAATAAATCTGGGCCAGAAACAGGAAAAAAGGAAGACATGCTGTTTCCGCTGAAGCCTTTTATGTAGGCTAACCCGATTTCTCTTCCAGCATCCGGTCTGTCTGCCATCATCTCGGTGGGTTTTTATAGATAAATTACTTATCAGTTCCAACAAAGCCAACAGATACATTTCAAATTGAGAAGGGAGACCTGCTTGACAAACTTGAACTTGAAAGAGAGAATGAACTCTGTGATGGCAGCGCAGAGGGCTTCTATAAAAAGACTGTTCCTTGTTTCCCAGTACCTCCTGACAGCTTCCAGTAAATCTGTTTCCCATGAGGAGCCTTAGCTACTCGGGTTGCAGTGACAAAGAAAAAACACGTGTCCTGTCCTCAAATGGGATGTCCCAATACTTTGATGGCAAAAAACAGGGTGCATTGCCAGTTTGTTCAGTGTTATCACATCTGAAACCTCATCTGAAGAGTATAATATAACTTTGAACATGATCCAATGAAAGTACCACACAGAAAAGGTAATGTGACAGTATAAAAGGATTCCTCAGTATCTTAAGCACATTTTATGTAAAACTCTTGCAATACAACCATGGAATTGTCACATAATTTTTATTCTGTGTAGCCCAAGACTGCATCTGACCTGTAAAAAGCAATCACTGACTGAAAATAACTAATTTATGTTGACATTTGACAAAGAATCATCCAGTGAGTCACTGCAACAAAGAGGAGAGCCCCCTTTTAACACTGAGGTAATTAACTCTTGTCAGGAAACATCTTAATAAAAGAAGGTGCAGTTTATTTCTTATTCATCAAATATTCTATACACAGGCATGAGCATGACATAAAGTGGGACCTTATATTGTTTTGTACAATAGGCTAAATGGTAAAAAGCCTACTTTAGTGTTATCTTTGTATAGCTGAAGAAAATTCTAACACATCCAATTGTTGATTTGTGCATCTGCTCAACACATGGGATTATTATTATATTATATTAACTGTGTCTTCTGCCTATATGTGGTAACATGCTTTGTAGTTTTCATCATCTGATTGAGTGCGGAGCATGTCGATTTTGAACAGAAGAGTCCCCAGAATGGAGCCTTGAGGAACCCCACATATATTGTCCAATCAGATGTGTAATTTCATAGTCACAAATTAAACCCTGTCCTCTAAATAGGATTTAAACCAAACCAAGAAGGTTTTCTCACCATGCATCATAGCGACAGCCCATCTGATGGGACGTGTATGAAATTCTTTCACACAACAAGCGCTTGGATATCACAAAAGTCATAATTAAATGTTTTGCTATTTAAAAAATGGTACAAAAAGGCTATGCTATTCAAATGAAAACTATTAAATAAAAAAAGAAAGTATCTTGAAATCTAAAGGCATCTTGTCAAATAATTTTACACTCCTGTTCTGTGATACGTGGAGAGAAAACCTTATTGCATGAAATCATACACGTTTTATTCCAAAACACACACAGTTGACCACATGCTGAAGTATTGCAGAGTACTTTAGGATAACCACTTGTGCTTGATTACCATGTACTGACCAAAACATGAACTCAAAAGAAACCCTGACAATGAGAATGTGAGCTGGTTAGAGTTGCATGTTTAGGACCATGAGGAAACTGAGGCTGAGGGAGGGCGTCTCTCCCTGTAGAGGCAGAGCATGTGTGAAGAGTAGAGCGGAGCGTTGGTTTTTGTCTCTGCGCGCTGATCCAGCTGAGGCTGCCGATCAAATGCATGCTGAAGAGAGAGACAGCTTTTGGATGAAGAATCGACCTGCAGGAGGACACAAGAGGAAATGAAGATGAAGATAAGATTGGTAATTATGAATAAGAGCTGGAAATATCCTTGTAATGTTCCATTGTGGGAATAGTTAATGTTTATTCTGTCATTGTATAGTACAGTGTAAACTAATGGCACTTTATGGTACTGTTAACAGTCGTGTTTGTATTTAATATATTCCTATTAGACACAAGTTAGTTTTATCTGCATGTTGGATTAATTATGAAACATGAATTCAGCAGCCTAATTTTTGCACCACTCTTTAAATCATGTTTCCCTGTTGACACAGCAAAATAGTGGCACAGCTGACATTTCCTTTGCAGGCTTGCATGAGGAGCTGTTATTGTGTTGCTCCTGCTTTGAAAGCATGTCCGAACAATGCTGCTTTTAGTGGCATTTTCTAAATCAGTTCATCTGACTAGATGTTTTTCATGTGTCTCCTCAGTACCAAGGGGTTAGTGGCATCATCATCATCACCATGGTTACAAGCTTTATGTTGGTGTACAACAGTGGCTCCGGTGACAGATCATCTTCGTCATCAGCATCATATTCCCGCCAGTTAGATGTTCCAGGTTCGGCCACAAAAAAGCCGAAGAGACTCACGACATCAACGCTCGAGGGGTACACAGGTATCTTGGATCATAAGGTAAATAAGCATCAGCTTTGAGATGGTTTGTGCGTCAGTTTATGATATTTAACAGGGGCTATGTCTGTATGTTTGGTTGTCAGTTTGCCATCTGTCCCAAGAAATACGAGATGCAAGAAAGTAGCAGTGGTTGGCACAAAGAGAAATCACTCACCAACAACCACAGAAGCAAAGGGTTAAACCTCAGCTTGGTTGTGTATCCCAACAAAAGCATTTGGCAGGGTGTGGGATCAGGTTTATGTGCATCAGGTGCCTAGAGAGGTGAGTTGGAAACTCTGTGCTGATGGGTGAAAATTGAGGACGCACAGAGAGGCCAACAGTGGCATAGTTAGTCTGGCCATCGGGACCACAGAGAGGAAACCTGGTGGGCGGGCCACTCTATACTGCTTATCCTTTGAGGGTCATCTGGGGAGCTGGAGCCAATCCCAGCTGGCATTGGGCAAGAGGCAGTGTACGATCTGGGTGGTCGCAAGGGTATCAGACTGACACATAGAGACAAACAACAACACACCAACAGTCGATTTAGACTCTAAAGCCCAATGTGCATGTATTTGGACTATGGCTGGAAGTTTAAGTACCCGCAGGAAATCCCAGCAGGCATGAGAAAAACATACAAACTCCACACAGAAAACTGGATTCAGACAGAGAACCTTCTTGCTGTGAGTTCACAGTGCTACCCACTTCACCACCATGCCACACTTGCATAAACTAGCATCATGTCATTATTTTTTACATTTAATGTTAATGCTTTTAAAACGCCATACTGTTTTAGGTATAACAACAAAGGTCTCCAATATTGGTTGTAAGAAATTGTTCAACTTCTGTTGAAATGCTAAAGATATGAAAAATAAGCTTCAAGGACTTTCAGCAATACTGTACCCTGTAAATGTACTACAACGCCATGTAATCTCACTGGAGCTGAATATACTGTGGTATAGCACCATCTCTAAATTCTCTTTGTAGTTTACTCCATTTCTTGATTCATAATTAATGTGCCCACCATGAAATATTTAGTGACGAAAGCATTTAAAACGCAATGGATTTCTACCAGAAAGACTAACTCGAGACATCACTGCTGTAATCTCTAAGCACAACAACAGTCATTGCTACTGTAACGCAGGGGCCCATCAGTCAGACCCTGTGTGGTGTTGCATGCAGCTCAGTTAGACAGATCGTTCCGGCAGTGTCCCCTCTGCCCTCGGTGAGAAAATATATGCAGCGAAGCAAAGCAGTGTGGAAAGGACGTTGCGTTGCTGAGGCGGCACTGGGCAGGAGAGGATTTGAAGAAAAGTGTTGGTTTCACTGCTTGATGATCAGTGACATGAGAGTGTGAGTGCTTTGGAGAGAGGTTTGATCCGGCTGACGCTTGCTGGACTTGTTCAGCGATCCTCTGAGATGTCGAAACGTCCATCCAGACTCTTTCAAACCCATGAAAAAGAAACATTCATCCATAGATTTTTCAAATCGCAGGAACTCTAGAGAGCAACAAGAGGCTGCAGCGTTGGCACCAGAGGTGGTAAAAGTACTCACATTCTTTACTTAAGTAGGCTATATGGTATATATAAATATGGTGGACACAGTCTAGTTTTGATGCAAGCCAAATTTCAGACAGAATAATAAAGACTGAACTGAACTGAGGTCCTGCATGAGCACCTGGTAAATGTTTTACAGGGAATAAATGGATGGAGAATGTGCTCCTGTAGATCAAGTCCCTTCCCCTTTGTACACACCGCCCGTCGACCCATTAGATGGTTTAGTGAGGTCCTGCGATCGGCCCCGCCAGAGTCGGTCACGGCCCTGGTGGAGCGAAGAGAACACGATCAAACTTGACCATCTAGAGGAAGTAAAAGACCGCTCGACCTCAGTCGGCAATCCGACCAACCTACAGACGCTTAGGGTCTTGCGCTACCCACCGGCACACACGTAGCTGGGCCTGAGCGTCTCCCGAGGAAGGGGGCAAGCGAGTGAGCGAGGGGTGCTCCGTGCATAGTATTTGTACTTCGTTACTTCCCCCTCTGTTTGGCACATTTATTATTCACAATCCGTCCTGAACGTCCACCTTCTCCTGATTGACGCCTGATTCATGATGGATTCACACTGTGACATTTTCATGCTGCTTAGTGTCACGATGCTGCTGCTTCTGCTGCACCCTCCGACAGAGCCAGGGAATGATTTAACCAGAGAAGTCCTGCTGGAGGGTGGAGTGGAGTGGGTGGATCATTCTGTTCCCTTCAGGGTCATCTAAGGTTTGCTGTTGCTGGAGGGAGTCTTGGCTTCAGCTATAACTCACACACATTCAAACAGCACAGGTACACCGATGCACCCAAACCCATGCAAATGGCCGGACACGTTATAATGGGATGCTTGAAAATGTGATGAGAGCTTGGTCTAATGTGTCTGCTGGAGCCTGTTTATGGCCCATATCACTGCACGTGCATTTAGCTTGCATGTAATTTCACAAAGGTGGGTGGGGGTCTGTTTGGCTCACTGAAGAATTCATAAAAGCATCTCTGAGAATATCTTGCTTCATGTGGCTCAAAGTTTAAACATTTGGCTTGTTTCCATCAGTCGTTTCGGTGCTTAGCAGTGAAATGAAAACAGAGAAGAGTGAATTCAAAACCCACAAATCTATAGAGTGAGATCAGACTTAAAAGTTCAGGATATTTTGAGCCTCATCTTGCTCTCTTTCTGCCTTCTGCAGTGTCTGCGTGTTTTTGTGAGATGTCCTCCTCTGGTATATGTTTCTCTTCTTTGACAGGCTACAGTAATTAGAGCTGCAGAGTTGAATAGCGCCTTGAAGCACCCACATCCACACGTTTGAGTTTGAACACAGCCGCCACATTCCTCCTTCTCCGATGCTTCGCCAATTTCAAAGAGATGTTGACCTTTGAAGAACTGTCAGCAGAATCAATCTACATTGGCCTTTTATACGCTCTAATCAGAAAGACAGTGTGAGTGCATGAATGTGGACTATGCGCCCGTACCAGTTTGTGATGTATCTACTTATTATGGACAATACCTTTCTTTGCTCTGACACACTGTTATGCAATCCGCCTCAGAGCAACAGGCATCATTAGGATGTCAGTTATGCAAAAATAAAATCCTACACCTATGGTGACCCTTCTCTAATGATTAATTTTAAGCATCTAGAAATGTTAATGTGTAGGAAGCAGTTTGAGACATTTTAAATGACAAAAAAATGTCCATGTGCAAGATTACTTAATGGATGAGAATATGCTAATCTTTAATTCGGCTCACAGTAAGGAAGCATACCTAGTGAAAAGGATGATATTTTATTGAGTGTTCCGTAGCCCAATTTTTAGACGTTCTATAATACCTGTACTGCTAGAGGGATGGGTGAGTAGCAAAAGACAGATTTATAAACATGTTTTTTTTAGTTAAAGTGCAAACCATTGACTGCAAGATGGATAGCATGTAGTATTGGTCATTAGCCCTGCCTCCTCCATGTTTGCAAATGGGACATGGACAAAACAAATTAAAAAAAATAAAATAAATATATATATTATAAAATGCAGGTTATTTAAGCAGCAGCAGCAGCAATTTCTGGAAGAAGTGGAGATACTTCAACCATCTTCAAATACAAGCCATGGTTCAAACCAGTCCATGCAGCATCATTTTACATGTCTCCCTCTATATGCTGTTAACAAGGCTATGTCCTCGTCCTCCCTCCTCTCTTTGTCTGAGGATGAAGACAAGGAGTACAGCCCCCTTGACTACCCTGCTTTTACGCTCTCAAAGTGAGAGCAGAGAAACTTCAGGACTGCTTTTTGAATGTGTGTCACCAAGAGTAGCTTAATGAGACATCAACTGTCAGGAGGGTTGCAGTGTAATTAACTAGCCTAAGAGAAAAGAAAGCAGCGCTGATCGTTAAACCCTCGCACCACAGAACAGGCGCCACTTGATCTACCTCTGCTCTCGCCTGAGCCATTAACCTAATTCCACACACTTTAGAAAGTGTACAGCTACTGCAAAATAATTTTTTGCATCTAAATAATTTGTGCCTGCAAACCAATACAGCTGATAATCTTTTTCAAACAGATAAAAAATGAAAATTATCTAGTCACTACTATGCCAATGGAGGAGTGGGTGAAGTGTTTTTAGAGTTTCAGGGGTAACAGCGTTGGAGCCAAGTGTCCGGAAGCCCCGACATTCAAATGTTAATACCTGGTCTGAATGGGTCTTAGACTTAATCTGTGTCTTTTGTCTCTGATTAGTTCTTTCTTTGTGAATATGTTATGTGAAGTCTATGACAGACAAACCAATAGTCATGTGCCGATGTGAACACAAACAGGTTTTCATACTGTAATAATTTCTCCTGTTGACACTGGCCATTTAGAGATCCCCTACTGATGTGCTTTCATTTTAAATGATGGGGCCAAAATCTTTTTAATTGTAAGTTTATTTGCAGAATTTGGATTGTGGGGTTGTTGCAGACATGCATTGAACAATATGCTTTTCTTTTCCACTGTATAGAGAAATTTTAAGGGCATCAATGTAAATGTTTAATGGCATCAACAATTATAATGGACTTTGTAGAGGGATGGACATTATTTTCATGGGATCATTTGAAAGTAAGAAAAATACTGAGTACTCCAACCATATCCTTTAAATCCCACGTTGCTAGGGCCTGTTTTTTTCCTGTTCTTTGCTCATGACTCCTCTCTGGCCTCTAAATAGTTTGATCCTGCAAGTTGTTTGCCTTTATTGTTGCACCCTGCACTCATCTTAAACTGAAAGGGGAGCAGGCAGAGGCACATTGGATGCTCTGGCAATATTAGCAGCTGGTTGATGGGGGTTTGCTCTGAAAGCAATTGTGATTGTGGGTTCCCCTGGGAAAAGTATTAACAGGATCAAACTGATGAGGCTGGTGTCAGCGTGTAGGCTGTAATTGACTGGGACTGGAACTAGAGCAACACTCCTAACCTTTTTCTTCTGCTGCCCCTCTCAGAGTAAAGCTTTGAGTAATCCAGTCGACATCTCATCAGAGGTCGCTGAATTGCCCCTTAAGGTTGAATTTATTTCCTTTTTAGATCATTCTAATCCAGGAAAGCGTATTGCTTATGAACTTGTGCATTATTGATCAAGGTAGACGACCCTCTGGCTGCATGATAATCTGCAGACTGAGCGTGTCAGCAAGTGTTCGAGGACCCCTATGCCAATTCAAGGCTGATCATGAGCTACCTGTAATAGGAATTTGATTACTCACTCATTGATTTCATCATTCACTCAACCTTCTGTGGGTTGTATCCTCCACTTATTGCTGTATGATATACTCATCCATCTGATTCTGAAAGCCTCTCTCACTGTGGTATCATCACGCTGTCAGAAACCTGGGGAGCATCAGCATCACTTTTAGTGTTTCACAGCCAACTGTGACACCAACTATGTTACTTTCAATTGCCCTGACTATTAAAATGATTAAAACTTGCTCAGGAGTCATTGTTTGGACAGTGCGGAGGGGGTAATGCACTCAATCTGCTGAATGTAGAAGAAGAAACAGGAAAATGGTGTGATTTTTTCGATGGCAGGGAGGGTGTGTTTGTGCAGTGAAGTGTGTAATTCACTCCAGCCTACCTGTTATGGAGGGAGGAGGTGTAAGCACAGACATACTCCTACAGGAAATGGCGTCTTTTGGGAAATGTGTTGGAGAATGAAAATACCTGTTCCTCCTTGCATCATCAGAGTGTGTGTCATGTGTGTGTGTGTGTGTGTGTGTGTGTGTGTGTGTGCATGTGTGAACAGAGGGGATTACAGCTGATCTGGATCTAGACACTTTAAGACAGTTGCAGACTCTTGCCAGAAAAAACGTGATTGTGTTACATATTGGGATATCTGGTGACACATCCAAATCTGCACAATCACACACACGATTCTTTCCCTCTCACACACACACACACACACACACTATAGGAAATCATTCAGCGTGGGGTCACAGAGACGGTGGGGGAGTATTATAAATAGCAGTGGGAGCAGCACAGCCTGTGGCCCTGGTAGTATCACCTGCATGTATGCACGTACTCACAGACACACACACATACACACTCTCACCTCAGAATCTGATGGAGTGTGAAGCTCGGAGCACAGTTCAGAATGTCAATGTAGCTTTCCATTAAGGTTGGGAATAATTCATGTGAACAGTCTCTGGGTTTTTTGCTGTTGGATCATTCAATCTGAGCTCGCCTTCTTCTACTGTGAGAACCTGGTTGAACACAACAATATTAGATTTCAGACACAGTTCAGTTCAGTATCTTGTGCAATGGCATGGCATGCAGACTGAAGGAGCCAGGGATTGAACCACCAACCATCGGGTTAGTGGACAAAACACATAACCACCTGTGCCATAGCTAATGGGTTATTTTCTAATCCATACATCCTTACATCAAGTTAAGTAGTTCTTGCACTTGCACATCTTGTTTTCATACAAACCAACAAAGCAATAGATATAGGTGAAAACATAACGTTGTAGGGGGAGGTAAGCCTAAAAAGACTGGATTTGAAATCCAAACCTTTTGCTACATTGTCAGTGAAACCTTAGACTAAGCTTATGGAAAGTGCCCTTGCCATTGCTGTCCTGTCTACATGTGTTGTTGTATATTTAGACTTTATTAAACTTGGTCAGGGCCAAGCTAAGTCTTTGCAGGTAATAATTGACCTGGATGAATTTGCAGATTCATCAGAGCCACTAGCTTGGCTCTACAGATAGTGATATTGTTCTGATGATTAGCTCTGAGTGAAATGTATCATGAAACTCTGTTTAGACATTCACAGTCCCCAGAGGATCACTCCACCTAACTTTGGTGTCCCCCTGAGATTTTTATTTTGCATTGCCAAGAGAAAGAGAAAGAGTCGACATTTGTGGTTTTGAGTGAAGTGGTTCAACAAATTTTATAGGATTCGGATAAAATGATGGGCGGCATGGTGGTAAATTGTGTAGCATGGTTGCCTCCCAACAAGGGCCTGTCTGTGTAGAGTTTCCATGTTTTACTCTTTTCTTTGGATACTCTGACTTCCTCCCACAGTCCAAAGAAAGGCAGGTTAACTGGAGATTCTGAATTGTCTCTGTATGCTGGTCTTGTGATGGACTGACAACTTATCCAGAGTGTGTCAATTGGTATTTGCCACCAGCCCCCGCAACCCTTTAAAGGAGAATTGGTAGAGATAATGAATGGATGAAATGATTTAACTCTATTGACGTTAGCTGTTCTGTTTATCCAGTTTCTTTCTTTTTCTCCTCTATCTGCATGCACATGGAGTAGATTCATTCCAGATTTTCTCTCATGTTGGAACGATTTCCACTCGCACAGACGTTTCAGTTCACACCAACCCACACAAATTTGCATGTACTTGTGACAGTGACTGTAAATGCGATCATACTGTGTCTAAAATTGGTATTCTGTCTGAATACATTGTTAGTCTTGTTTAGAAAGCTTTGCATAGCCTTGCAAATGTTGGACTGTTATAATTAAATTGTTTCCAGGAGGAAAAAAGAACTGGTTGCATTATGAAAATCAAAATGCTTGAGAAAACTATATTAGATAAAAATAGCCTGCCTTCAGTTTTCTCTGAGAGACACAACTATCATTTCTAACCTGTGCCCCTTATCTCCACAGTCTTTGAAGATGCGCTGCAGTACTTGTGCTCTGGTGACCAGCTCGGGTCAGCTGACTGGGAGCAAACGGGGTGAAGAAATCGATCGCTCTGAATGTGTCATCCGCATGAACGATGCTCCAAGCCAAGGCTATCGGCAGGACGTCGGCCAGCGCACCAGCTTGCGTGTCGTAGCCCACTCCAGCCTGCAGAGGGTGCTGCGGAGCAGACAGGAGCTGCTCAATGCCAGCCAAGACACAGTGTTCATCTTCTGGGGACCAAGCAGCTGCATGAGACGGGATGGAAAAGGCCACATTTACAACAACCTGAGGCAGATAACCCAGCGACTGCCCAAACTGAGAATCTACATTATTTCTCGCAGCAAGATGCTAAAATTTGATGAACTATTTAAAAACGAAACAGGGATTGACAGGTGAATGTTCACTGAATGCATGTACACAATAGATACTGTCAGTTTAAGTTTCATGAAATTTGCATTTCGGGATGAGTATGTCACACACTGCACTACTTTGTGAAAACCCTTATATGTGCAATAATAAGTTCAAGCCTCAAACAGTGGGGCAGGCAGGGGAAAGATTCCAAGGGCCCAACACTGACAGGGGGCCCTCAGAGAAAATAATAACCAGCATTGTTATTTTTTGGGGGGGCTAATATTATGCTCTTTAGGGCAATTAATTTCTAGTGACACCCCTAGCTGCAAACACACACACATTATTAATAAATTAAAACTTAACATATTAACTATGAAAGGATTCATGTGGGATTTAATCCAACAAATTCGTCTCACTAATGTCAGGATTAAGAAAAGTACTGTGAAGTATTTTTCCATGCACTGTGGCCATTTTTATATTTACATATTGTATTCTGATTATATTTGGAGCCTTTCTTGAGCACCATGCTCTCAAATTCAATACAAGCACAAAACAGCAATGTGAGCACGCATTGATCAGGGTGATGGAGGGTGAAGTGAGAGAACTTCTTTCTTAAAGCAGTATTGATGGCGAGTGGTCGGCTACTCTGCTCAACAACATGAGGATCTGTAGGGGAGGAAATATACAAAAAAAAATTCTGACTAAAATATTTGGTTCAGGAGAATAATTCTGATTCTGATGCAGACACCTGAACACAACATATGCATCACAAGCACAACAGGGAATCCCATATATTTTAGTACATTATACATGTAACACACATAGGTCAGTGGGTGTTCTCCAGTAACTCTTCTCTTGGGGAAAAGGAAATTTGGAAATAATCATTTACAGAGGCAAGGGTCGTGCTTAGTTTGGACGAACAGAATATATTTATCACAATCATAACTTTAAAGTAAGTTGATACAGACTTGGGCTCATGTAATACAGACAACAAAAACGTGGTTGGCTGAAAATGAGCTAATAATAAAAAAGGAAAGGTTGGGGTGTAACGATTCTGAAACCAAGACCAAAACTGTGAAACTATTTTTTACAATCTTGTATGATAAAAATGGAATAGAGAAGTACTGTAGGCTACTGGTGCATCCTGTTAAGCTATTGTTACTTCTCTAATTTAACAAACCCCATTTTACATTTTCCAACGAAACTAGGGAACATTTACAGAAAAAAACTTTTGGGCACATTTCCTAAAATCACTGTAATCTGATAGTACACGAGGCCAGTGATATTATTTGTATTCACTTCTGACTGCAGCTTTAACACTACAACACACGCAAATCATAAAATTATCATTCTATTCGAAGTTGGAACAGGTTGAATATTCTCTCAATACGGGATTACACATTACACCTATTTTTATTGTCTACCTACTGCATGTGTCGCATGACTATTTTGGTCTACTCGTGATCGAGTGATCACGCCTGCAGTAAAAGTTAGTTCAGTTTAATTAGCTCAAGATGGATTATAACCCTGATATTACAGAACCCCCTCGAGCACATTCAAGTCAGCAGAGTGGGAACATCTTGTGTAGAAACAAAGAAAGTCTTCCCTTTTGCCTTCATCTATATATACCTCTGAAAACTGGAGCTGACTGATCAGATAAAATGTAAAAACAAGGCTTTGCAGCTTGTCTCTGCTCTCTGTGTATTTGCACTTTGTTTGCTAGAAATGGTGATGCTCTCTTGTCTTCCAGAAAGATTTCCAACTCCTGGCTGAGTACTGGCTGGTTCACCATGACCATAGCCCTGGAGCTGTGTGACAGGGTCAACGTGTATGGCATGGTGCCCCCTGATTTCTGCAGGTAGAGTCAGATAATTGTTTGATCTAGGGTTTTCAGCTGCCCAGCTGGATTAAAGGTGACAGCATGCCTCATCATGGTGCACTAATGAAATACCTTCAGAAACTCATGTGCACCTGGCCACAAATAGGAAAAATAAAATACTAATATTAATATGTGGCTTTAGCAAACCATGCATTGTTAATTTATTTAAAACAGGACAGTGGAAGAATGGTTCTCAGGTCCATGCAGTCCATGCAGAGTGGTACATGTGTGCATTTGTTTGCAAGCAGACAAATGAACCAAACAGAAGCCAAAGAATCTCTTCACTGATAAGGTAGAGTGATTTTACAGGATTTTACACAAATATTAAGTATTTAAGCAGAAGCATTTCCTCAAAGCTAGCTGCTAACTCCGGCTCATAGCTCTGGTTCTTGTTGGTACACTGCTGTGGCAATGACAGGGATACCATTGTCCAAATTATCAATTTGTGTTCCATCAGTGTTATCTTAAGGTAAAAAAAACTACACTGAGTTGCTTTCAGTAAATTAAACTCTCTTGTTCCCATGAGGAAATTAGTCTTGCATCCAGGTGAAATATGGAACACAGTCTTTCACAGTGCATACGCTAAAATAGGTCAGTATTTAAAATATGAAGCCTATCACATAAAAAAGAATACAAATATAAAACCATAAAACATGGACTATATCCTTTATCTCCAGTCCTCTGCTGATTCGATTTGGGTTCATTTATTTTTATCTTCACTTAGTTTTGTGTTTCGCGTGTAACATGGTATTATAAAAGGAAGTCTGCAGCAAATTTTAAAGACATCCAGACTCTTTTGAGCACTCACTCTCTGCATCTATTGAATTATACATCCCATACACCGTGGAAATGCCTCCAACCCCAGGACTTAAATTTTCAGTTTGTCACTTCCTGTTTGAGCAAGTGGGGCAACTAGTGCATGAAGAGGATGGGACGCTCTCTTATGCCGCAGCTTCACTCTCTGTGATTTACCGTATGCTGACAACGCGAGTGTGGGTTTGACGTAGAAATCTTGTCGAGTGCATCTTTAATGATGTCGTCAGCTTGTAATAACAATGTAACTTTTATAATCCCTGCAGTGGCAAATTCAGGAGGCTTTTATTGCAGCGTAGTCAGGCTGGTGAATGACTGTGATTACAGCACCAGGGAAACCAATCATTCTGACAATTTGGAATAGAAAGAACACATCTCACTGAATGGGCTGACAACACAATGCAAAGGTTTTTAAAATGTTCATATGCAACACTCAGGTGCTCTGGAAATAGAGTCCAATTTGTTCTCATGTGACTCTGCAAAGGGAGAAAGGACAGTTTGGGGGAAGTAACTCTCATGTCTTCCACTGAGCTTCATGTAAGAGTGTCAGAGGAATGAGCTGATGTATAATGAAAACATCTTTTATCCCACATTCTTCTCATCTGTCTGTTTTCTTTGTTCTCATCTGCATCTCTTCCCCACTGTGACTCACTTTCTCTCCTCCCCTCCTCCACCTCATCTCATAATTATCCCCACGCTACTTCCACACGCATCCCTCCACACTTTTGACTCATCTCTCCTCTCTGCTCCCGTGTATAGGTCCTCCTCCCATCCCTCCGTGCCATATCATTACTACGAGCCCCTGGGGCCCGACGAGTGCTCCATGTACCTTTCCCATGAGAGGAATCGGCAAGGAAGCCACCACCGCTTCATCACGGAGAAGACGGTGTTTGCAAACTGGGCCCGGGCCCTCAACATCCACTTCTACCAACCGCACTGGAGGCCTGCCGCCATCATCGCCAGCATGAACAGCTCGTACGCTCCGGCTCCCACTGGATCACGATTCTCTCTCTGGAGATGATCCTAAGAAATGTGGGATATGAGTGTGGACAGCTTCCAGTGTGCAGAACCCCCAGTCTGGTCAATGCACGTGGCAGCAACAGGACCGAGCGAGCAGCTGCGGATGTTGGACGGCTGCCTGCAAGCAGCTTGGCAGAATGGGATCATTGCATTAGCAGCACAAAGGCTAAACAATGTTATAGAAGTGTAACTACTATAGGATGGATTTCATGGAGGCTGGCACAAGTGTGTGTTTTTACTCTGTGTAGAGCTGCTTTAATAACGCTCGAGCCGTCATAGAGCGGACACATGATGAGACGACACACCACTGCAACAACTGGAGTACAACTATGATGTTATTCAATATAATGAAATTGTTGTTGGGTTTTAATTTAAATGAATTTATATTTTGTTTTTCAAAGCTAATTTTGATATTTTTAGAGTTACTACCTTTAATTTTTTTAATGTTTCATTTATACTTTTGTACATTTTCAAAAAGACAATATGAATAAGAAGACAACAGCACCGAATATACATACATATGTATATTATACACTCTTTTCATACATAGATAGATATATCTATAGATAGATACAATGATACTACAAGTCTGTCTTTTGCAGTAAGCCAGTTATACAGAGGTGTTGGGTATAATGTTATACATTTAAGGAATAAAGGGAAAAAAAATGAATAAAAGAATACAAACAAATAAAAAGGAGAAGTAGTTTTGTTTTTTGACATATGTCCAAGTATTGGCGGCTCTTAGGGGTTGACATATTTTGTCACTGTCACTAAAGGAAAAATATTTTTTTTCATATTTTTTTTATTGGTCCAATTTTTCAATGTTTCAAACTTATCATGACCTAACTGATCAACCTATTGATTTGTTTAAAGTGCCAACTACTGATCAGTGGCAATAAACAGTCCACATCCTAGAGATATAATGATACAAGTCAAAGGAAAGCAACCGTCACAGCAGGACACATTTAGTATTCAGTGTATGTTTTATAATTTCTTTCCATTATATCATCTCTCAAAACTGTTGTTTTTAAATTGTCTATTGATCAACTATGTGAATAATCAACTAATTGTTTCATCTCTGGTTTCATTATAATATTAGAAAACTTAACTTACATCGAGGTCCAGAAGTAATATATGGAACAGTCTGAACATAAGACCCGTTGTTGTTGATGGCTTGTGACATTACGAGCAGCTGTAATGGACAAAAATGGAGTCAAATTATCCTGGATATGAACGCTGCCATCTTGGTCCCGCTGAACCAAGCTCTCTACCAATTGTAAGTCAGTCTCAGCTGTCAATCATGATGTGTCACCCTGTTTTTATAGCATTAAATCAAAACCAAACATGTTGGAAGAATGGGCACTTACATCAGATCACTACCTTAAATGACAGAAACAATATTTGAGAAAAAATTTGCTGACATTGGCATTTTAGTTTGGTCCATTTCCCATACACTAACATGGAGGAGGTGGGCTTTATGTCCTGTACTGCAGCCAGCCACAATTTAACCTGGTCAAAAGATTGGCTATTTTTTAAGCGATTGTTACAATGTGAATATTTAAACCAGAGCAGTACATTTTAACAGAAAGATCCTTGAATCTATGTAGGTCAGAGCAAATGGCTCTTGGTCAGAAAGGCCCTGGCAGCCTGATGTTTGAGGCCATGACTCGTCCTGTTATGTTAAAATGAGACCGAGTCCTCAAAGGCGTTTTTCCTGACCAGAGCACGTCAGCCGTTGTTATACTGATGCTAATGATTAGAGCCTCTTCTGTCCTGACACTCAGGTCTCTGTCTCCACCGCTTCAGCAGAGGGGAGCTGGTTGTCAGCAGAGGATTATAGTGATCTATCCAACCACATCTCCAGGGTGAGGGGAACAGAACTGCTGCAGAATTCAAGATGTGCCGTCACACAGGGAAGGGCACTGACTGCTGCCTGTTCCTGCGTTAATTCAGGTTTTTGCCACTCAGGTGGAATATTAATGCTGCAAAGCGCTCAGGTGCTCACAGAAAAGCCCATGCACTGCTGGGGCGTCGTGCTAAGTGGGCTCGCTGCTCCTCAACAGATCTGTGTTGTGTGATTTGCACACTGAGCACTGGCCCTTCACGTAGACAGGTTGGAATTTAAAAACTTCAGAGGACAACCTGGCTTCTATTGAGTCTGATTTTGAGATTTTAAACATGCTTCAGGCAATATTGGGATTTTCACTGACCTTCAAAACGTCAGGAGCCCATACGGACACTGAAGTGCTCGGAGCCAGAAGGGTGGTGCTGGCATTGCTGTATATTGAGAACTTTATATCAAGACAAGCTGTTCTCCCTTGTTTCTAGTCTTTAAGCTTAGTTAAGCTTTTTATATCAGATGTGAGAATCTCATTGATGTTCTCGTCAAACGCTCAGCATTTTTCCATTTGTTCCTTTGGGATGTCCTGGCTTCATCCTCATGATACCTGGCAATATTTTATAAAATATCTATTGGGCTATTATTGTTGCTATATTATTTGTGTGTGTGTAAGTATTTCTAAAATTGTCTACACATTCACACATCTATACACACACTTTTCTAAATTTACTAAAACAAACACGTTGGTACATACATAGGCAATATTACAGATAAATAGAACAGAAGAGGATCAATGCTCTGCCCCGCTACTGACACAAGGGGAAAGAAGCACAGAGACTAAATAAGACCAGTGGTGGAGGAAGTACTCAAATATTTTACTTCAGCAAAAGTACAAATGAATGAAAACTCGAGGCAGTGCAGAGCACACAAGAGGAGGAAGTGGGTTCCGAAATGAGATGGATAATCAAACAAAAACCGAGAGAGACAAAGAATGGAAAATACTGAGGGGTTCCTGATACAATACTAAATCAGGACTTGTAACATAAAAGAATAATCAGTGATTACAGAGAGAAAAACTTTCCTTTAGAGTTATGTTTTCATGCAGTTTCAGCTGGTTCCTCTCAAACATGATCAGAAAAAGTGTGAGACATAAAGAAGCCGTGTCTTTTTCTTTATGAATAAATCACAACCTATAATCTCCAGATTTCCATTATATCCGTACTGCTCCACTTTCTCTTGGCAGGGACTTGTTCAAACAGCTCAGCAGAGTGAACTCACAGGTTCATCTCCTCTGCATCCCATTGGGACTCATATCAAACACACTGCAGTTGCACATCTGCCCTGTTCCTGATAGATATGCACGACAAAATACCATCATCCTTTGCAGACTTCAGATTCATTACACATCACCCAGTCTCATCATCAAAAGTTTTTTTAAATAGCCAGACTCAATTAGAACAAGTGTTTTACTTGACTATGTATTGTGAGTCTTTACTGACATCTAGTGGTCATAGCTGCACTCATCATGTTATTGCTCAGGTTTTAAAACTTTAAAAACTTGTGTTTGATAGAATTTATTTTGTATATTATACAGACATAGATGAGGAAGTGTAATGTAAGATAGCTCTGTAGTAGTGTCAGAGTAAGTTAAAGTTAAGTGTTAAATGAATACATTTAAAATCATATCAAAGTTTAAAAGCAGAAAACTACAGAGGGCTTCACAGATCTGTGATTTATTTCATTTTTATTTATCAGGTGAGTTGTGACTTTATCAAACTGTTACATTTTAATGTCTAGCTGGGAAAATTTTCTCTCCCTCAAGTTTTTTTTTTAACATTTTACAATTCAAATATGGTTATTAGTAATATTATGATGTATCTTTACACCATAAAAACCCAGCAGATGGAGACACTATGACAAAGATGTTCTTCCTGCCCTGCTGTCAAAGTCTAAGAAACTTTAAAGTTCAAGTAAACGCTGCCTCCACCCTCTTCAGTCCAGGGTAACTGCGTACGCTCTTTCCCATGATGCCCCTCACTAATTGGTGTCTAATGGAGCAGTGTGTTTGTTCGTCTGCGAGGATCCTCATGCTCTGTCCTGCCGGTTTAATGATTAAAAAGCACCTCACAGAGAAGTGAGTCATTCTACACAGCACTCTATTACCTTGAATTGAACTGTTCTTATGTCAGTGCAGAGTCAGAGCAGGAGCCATCGAAGGTAAACACAAATTACACAAAGTGCACCAACCTCGTAAACTTCAAGCTCTTAAATGCTCCCTGTCTTTCTTTTGAAGAGTAGAGACAAATGTGTCTGTGTGTGTGTGTAACCACCATCTCCAGTCTCCTCCATGTTAGTGGATGGGTCATGGACCAAACAAAAAAAAGTCACAACAAATACATTCTTCTCAAAGACAGTTTCTGTCATTTCGGGTAGTTCTTATCACACTAATTCACACTAATAACTTTTTCAAGAATTTACTATAAAAGTGGAGGGATGACTGACAGCTGAGTCTTAGTTATGAACCTCACTACTGTGGCTCATCTCCCCGATCACTGCTGCACAGACTCTGGCTCCAAATGCGCAAAATGGCAATGATTTTCATAACAGGATCTTTTGGCTCTATTTCTGGATGGTGGGAGAAAGTCCTCCGTCTTTAGTCTGTGGATGAGAAGGTAGAGAGAGAAGTCAAGATGGGGTCTCCAGAATGTACGATATTAATGCTGTAGCTCAAAACCATGTTTGTTACTTATTAGAGTAAACAGCATTTGTTAATAGACACATCGATCATTAGTAGTTACCAGATCTACACTGATGCCTTTGTTGAACCTTTAATCCAGATCATCACTGTAGTCTATAGCTGTAGTGTTTTATCAGTGCCTTCATGAAGGTCACACATTAGATTCAGTCTGACAACCTCTGTGGGACTCTATAAATTCACCAGCTACTAAATGTTACATCTGGAAGGTAGAAGCCTCATACTGACAGCTGTCCTCTACTTCTCCCTCAGTAATGTCCCATCATTCAATTGCCACTCACCTCATACAGTATGATTTGATTGAACAGATGGTGAGAGTTTGAGGTGATTGGAGGACGAGGGACCCAACCTTGCCTTTCACACATGAAGAATGCAGCAGGAGATCGTACAGGTCAGACGCCTCCGCAACAGGAAAATATCCGCAACACTTGCATGCAGGAGGGGGACATGATGTATTCTGCTGTGGAAATGATAAACAATGTTTTTTGTTTATAGCACATCAACTCCGCTGCGGGCCCTTGTTGTCAGAAGCTCTCAAATCTGCATCTTCTACATGTATGGCTCCTCACTTTGTCATCCTATTATGTTTGTATTGTTTTTAGTTTTTTTTTTAATTTTGCATCTCACGCATCTTGAAAACATCAACACCCCGACTCGCTCGCTTTGAATTTTCCTGACATTTTCCTGCTGTTTTCTCACATGGGCTCACTCCAACATTCTTTTGTGAAGTGCAGGTTTTTACAGGGGGGCTGGCAGGGAAAGTTCCACAAAATTTCAGGAAAATGTCTGTACTTCAGTGCTCCTCTAAAAGCAGCTCTGGTAACGGATGGAGAAAGGAAATGATGGTAGAAACAGGATGAGTGAGAACTGAGGGACTGAACTTTTCTTACCTGTGAATCTTGCAGCACATGAGTATGTTTGTGATTAGATGGAGACGCAGTGAAGGAAGCGACAGTGCTCCTGGCAAAAAGCCTGTATTATGAGTTATTTTCCCATCCACCCTCAATCTACTC